GAGATCAATCCCTTCTGAAAGAACTTGAATGTTAATACACTGAGGCACACCTTGCAATTTACCTCCCCAGCCCTCAGCAGCGATCCCTGCCCAGCTGTGGCAGACTGATAAGCTATATTAGTGTGTTCTTTCCTCCAATGATTTCTCTTCTAGCTGTTAGTAATGACTCATGGATCTGGTAAGAGGGGCCAACAGCATGCAGATTAAGACATACAGAAAAGCCCATTTGATCATATCAGGACAGAACAGAAAAAAACCCAGAAAGACTCCCACAAAGCTTACCTCTCGGGACTGCTAGCAAGTTGGTGCGGATATTTCAGTGCAGCAGCCGCCGTTCTACTGTAAACCGGTTTTAATTACATTAAAGAAACGACTGAAGCAGCACAGCATTGGTTTAGGTTTTAGTGCGTGAGGTGCAATTAACTCACTATGTACTCACCTTGACTACATGTGTTTTTTCGATCTGATTGCCAATGGGAAGTCACAGCCTAATGCTTTCTATACTGAGAGAAACCCCCCGTTCACTGCGGAATCTAATCTAAGAAACAGTGCAGTGCAGCTGGAGATAGCCTGTCTAAATGAGTTTATTGACAAGGAATGTGAAAGTGGGGCATGGAATCAAACAAACAAACAAACAAATAAGGAAGTGAAACCCTGAGATAGCAGAATAGTTTTGGATGCTAAATTCTAAAAATAAAGGAGGTGCAACGTATATGATACGACCCCTCATGAACGTAGAATGTCAGTAGTACAAGGCTACCTTCGCTGAGTGCTCGTAACAGTATTAATGAACAGCTTACGCCAGTAATTGCAAGATAACGTGACATTGTAAATGAGGCTTGCACTAAAGTACAGACATGTGTTTCCATTTATATTACTGTTATGAAGCATCATTCCCAAGTAATGGAACTTCTGAAGTAAAGGCCTAGTACAAACACCGTTTGTCTATTCTATATTTTTCTTCTAGGAATGCACAATTGAAATCGACCAAGATCGTAATTAGCAAAATTTTTTAGCTCAATACACAGATTTGGCCAGTTTATTGCACTGCATTTGAGTGTTGCTGCTACAACTGTACCAAAATGTCAAAGCATAATGACTTATTGTGCTAAATAGCCAGTTGCTTCTTACTTCAACATAACATTTTATTTGATTTGTGTTGTTTAAATAGGCAATTTATTTTGAAATGCCATTTTAGCCCATTAAAGAGCAAATAATTCTGTTTATATCTGTTTATATCTTCATCAGTACAATGTTGATTTTGCATTTGACCTAAACATTGAGCTGGAGCTTCTTTTTAAACCTGTGTGTGTTAATATATTTAGACATATGGCATTTCAAAAACTCTGTTTTACTCTGTTTTTTCATGTGTCTCCAGCTACACAGGTCTCCTTATTAGAAACTGAAGGGCGTCATTCCTGCTTCATTCCAAAATGATCCATTTATAACAATTGTGGATATAAAGACTTTTTGAAAAGAATAACAGCAGAAGTATAACAGAAAACATAATTATATTTCTCTAACAGAGGTAGTATTAATAACAATGAAGCATTGATATTTCTTCTATGTGTACATGATCTTTCAAGGGCATCAGAAACTTCCACAGAATTTATATATGGTCTTCTTAACTAGGCCTCTGCCTTCAAATGCTGCATGACTATGTTATAAATGGAACAAAGGTCTGTCACTTTAAAGGCCCTTTATTTCATATATCATCTTGTGATTATTGGCATAGACTGTTCATAAATACTCAAGCAGTGCTTTATAAATATGGTATTCAGAGCTTATGTGTGTTGTGAAGTCCCTGTATAGGCAGCCTTTAAATAAAGGGTTACCCTTTTTTAGGTTATTACAAAACATTAGAGAACAGTCTTGTTTCACGGAACAGACCAAGCAGTTTTACTAGTTAGAGACTAAAATCTTTCTATTTGTTACTTTAAAGAAATACATAGGAACAATGTCCTTCAGAATGCTGAAAAATCCAGACATTTGGCACAGGTATTGAGTGTCACAAAGCAGCAGACTACCTTGGCTAAGATAGCAGAGGACAACTCTCAAAGCCGCTTGGCATGAAGTCCCATTGAAAGACAATCTGTATAGACGAAGGACGAAGGACAACAACAAAGATAAAAAAGTATCAATCGTACAAATGTGTACATCTCACAAAGTTCCAACTTTGCTGAAGGCCACGTTTCTAGTGGGTAGCATACACGCTTCTGCCCCATTTCAGCGTGAGCTAAAACATTGTCCAAATTGAAGGAAGCAGCCGTGCCACTTAAACTACTTTGTGCGTGTGGTGGATTCTTCAGTCCTATCAGAAATGCATAACTGGTTTCTCTGAAAGTTCATTCTGAGTATGGCAAAATAACCCTCTGCATTATTCATGAGGTATTTTGTGCCTTTTATATTGCTTTAAGGCTTTCAGATTTGCATTTCTTTAACATGCCTTGGTGAAATCCTTCAGTGTCATGAAGCACGAATCTTAAAAATATGAAGTGATCAAACCCTTTAAGGTGTGGGAGTGGGATAGCCACATGACCTTATGAGGGAAAGGAGCTCGCTGAGCACTTCAAAATCCTCAAAATGTCAATTTCCCCGTCAGGACTGCAGACATTGATCTTACAGTGTAGTTTTGTAGGAAACGTTGTCTGTCAGTGTTTCTGCCAGTGAATGCTACCATCAGCCTCCCGCTGGGCTTACAACCATAAGTGGTTGATCACTTCTCCACACTTGGTTGAACAGATTATAAGCTGGGTTTTCAATTAACTCTTAACTTGAATTCACAGCATTGACTGTTGGTGATGTCAACTCACTTTTTAACATCTTTTGCACAAATCATCCACTTACACTGACTTAGCATACAGTAGGTCTGAGCATACGACGTCTATATACAGATTCTACTCAATTGTCTGTCTGTTATTGGTGCTTTATTTTTTGAACAGGCACATTTTTCACTAGCTTATGTTAAACTGTACTTCATACTACCAATGAGTGCAAATGGTGTAACCGAGGTTATAGCTACTTCTTACAAAGAGCGCTTGAGGGGGCCTGTTATTGCTTGTGATTTGTTGCATAGCAGCAATGACAAAATTAATGGCATGATCAATGTGGACATGTTGAGGGAATGACCTTTATTGAATGCGAGACCTGGAGTGATTTTCAGCCATCTAGCTACAGGTTCGTGTTTCTTTCAAAGACAGAATAGCTCCTTTCAAGGTGAAAATGTATTCCACCATTTTTTCTTTTCAAAATTTCTGCATAATTCAAGCATTGAGATATAAACAACATCATTCAGGGTGATTTGGTGTAAAATGATTCACTGAAGAGAAACTTATCAACCTTGATTTCTTAACAGTGGTGGTGATAGCACCCAGGGATCACAATGTCTAAAACACAAATAGGCCATTTTATTTACTTTCTAAAAACATCAGTTGTTATATGTGATGTTGATTATAGTAAAAAAGTTTTCTTTGGGGGCAATTTTCAAAAGTCTTTGAACACTTGTATGTACCTTTCCACTATGGCTGGCTTCTAAAAATCACACTTTAGGCCAAATCCATCATGAAAAAATGTCTCACACATTAGGCAGGGCAGTTGTAACCATTTCATGCAATGACTTTTTGAGAGGTAGCTTAAATAGGCATTAAACACTTTAGACGTCTAGTTCCATTCACCACCACTGGGAACAATTCTTATTCTGCACGTTTATCTAGAATGGAGTATTGGACATTAAAACATTCTGAATGACCTTTGTTTACAGCTTAACCACCAAGTTATGCAGAAATGTTGAAGAATTAGTGGAATTTCCTTTTTTAAAATGCATATAATAGAAAAAAAGTCATCATTATGTAGGCCTACAGCCCCACTATTTCTATGAAAATCAGACAAGCACATTTTTGTTCATTTGTTTGGCAGCCAATAAAGTTAAACTAAGCACTTTATTTGCTCCAGTCTGTTGAATGTGTTGCTCAATGTTTGTGTATATTGAGAGGGTAGTATTGAATGATATTTTGTACTGTTACAGTCCTAGCCTACATTAAAGGGAAATTTCACCTATTTTTCAAAAGTTCTACATAATTAAATTGCTGACATATAAACAATGTCATAGAGAGTGGTATGATGTGAAATAGCTCACTGCAGAGAAACCTACTAACTCAGATTTCTTTACAGTGATGGTGATAGGAAACAGGAATCGCAATGCAAGTATAGCCGTGTTATTTACTATCAAAAAAGGACCAGTGAACCTACACAGATCTTTTGAGTTTTATGTTCTGCATTATAACGTCCTGCGTGTACCTCTCAGCTATGAGTGAAATTTAAAAAAGCACATTTTAAGCCAAAAGCTTATCACACAACTATCGTAAAACGATGTCTCAGGCATCAGTCAGAGTATCTGTAACTACTTCATGTACTAACTTTCTGCGATGTAGCTCTTAGCGGCATTAAATGCTTCAGCCGTCTGGTTCCCATCACCACCATTGTGAGCAACTCTGATTCAGTAAGCTTCTCTAGAATGGAGCATTTCACATCCAACCAGTCTGAATGATTTTGTTAACATTTAAAGCATTTATTTATGCAGAACTTTTGAGAAATTTGGTGGTATTCTCCTTTAAATGTTTGGTGTGTACTAATAGGGCATTTTAGAGCCATTTTACTACAATGGCAATGGAGAACCCAGGGCAAAGTCTCAATTAGTCTTAGTAGATGGGAACCAAAATCATTGGCTTTACAAGATGATTAAAATAAATGCATCTGTGAGTTACTTCAGACCATTTAAACTTTAGAAGTAGTGACAGTGACTGCTGTCAGAATCGAGTATTTATTTGCCGAGCGAACACTGCCCCCCTCTTCCATCCCTGCTGTCTCCAGCATCAGCGCTGCTTTTAGAGGATGCAAGCCCCGCCCTCTTAGCTGACGTCAAGCGGAGGCGGTGAGGTGGGCGGGGCTACGGGTCTGAATTCATACAATACAAACGGAGACTGAGCTCTGCGCACAACTACTGCACGACGAGTATGTCAGAGTGTGTGAGTGATGCCGCGCCAAGGCACACTATCATCTTGCTCCGTTGGGGAAACGCAAGCACCAACAGCATTCCACCTTTAGGCCTATATAGTTTTTTTTTTTTTCCTTCTTGAACACAGGGCGTCTTAGCTCTGTATCATCCAGCCAAACAAGTGATGGTGACGAGTGAACTAACGTGTTTACGTTCGCAGCGCTAACGAAATGTTCGCTCGCTCTGTGCTGCGCACTCGTGTGTGAGACACCACATTCACTGAAGTAGTTCCTGTGTGGCCCTGGAGAGTTCCCAGTTCCGGGCGTTGAGTGTTTTTCCACCCCCTTTCTTTCTCTCTTGCTGTGTTTTTTCCCAGTCAGAAGTGTTGCTTGTTGAGTAACCGACTTGGAGCCACCAGTGTCGTGTGCGCGCGCGCGGAGAGCTGAGGAGGACCTAGCCTTCACCGCCGCTGCCAAAAAGTGCACCGCTGATGTTTTCCACCGCTCGCTTGAGGACCGTGGACTTTTCTCATGGACATGGATCGCTTTCGCCTTCTTTAGTTGGATACCGACCCGTCGGCACGACGAGGCTATTTGCTTCCCGCCGGTGAGGAGGATTTTCTTGCCCCTCTCTCTCTCCCTCCACTTCAGCCCGGTTCGCGGCACTTCATCTCCTCAAGCAGTGATGTTGCTACGTGACGGGAATTGAGAGGATTTTTTTCTCCGTATTCGCCAAAAAGATATCGACGGTAAGTCGCATATTCGTTAAATAGTGTGATAAATGTGTAGCGGTTAGGGCTGGAGTGGAGTTGCCGAAGAATTTGTACCTCAGATTTTAACTCAGTATTACTTGCCAAATCGGCACACGGTGAGCTGGACCGAAAGCCTGCCTGTACGAACCCCGTGAAAGACTTTTTAGGCTGTTAGCGTGTTCTCCTCACTGCTGGAACCAAGAAAATACGTAAAAGCCGTCCGTGCAGTTAGTCGGGCCGGAGTCGAGGAGGCGCGCATTCAGGCAAGTGTGCAGGAAATTTTAAATGTGGAAAACTAGGGGGAAAATGGTATTTTTCAACTCTACCTCACGAAAATGCAGCTCACAAAATCATCCTATTTTACCCATGTACGTTATACTTGACGCCTACCTGCTTAGACAGCCCCAGTTTCCCCGAGCGCCTATAAGTTTCTTTTAGCAGCTAACACTGCTAAATGTCTCCTTCAGCGAATTTAAAAAGCTGTTGTTGGGCTCCGTGGTGAGCATTCATCGCGTATACAGCCCACACGTGAATCCCTAACTGCACAACGGTGGTTCAAAATCTCTGCACGTAGCCCATCGCTGGAGCAGTTTAACAACTTAAGAAAAATCACCCTTAGCACATGATATCGCTTAAATACGACGCCGTGGAAAGGAGCGAAATGCCATGGCGATATAACACCCACCTATGGTTTAACATGTTCGTCAAGAGCGCAATGAAAGCCCGTCCTAGCGCTCTTCATGGCTAGCTGCTCCAGCCTCCCGTATGCTGGCCTCATGTTCAGCTCTAAAACTCCGGCGGGCTTCACCGGCACCTTCACCGGCCGCTGGAGATACACGGAGGAGCTCGAGATCCGTCATTTTCCATTCCGGCCGGCTGACGGGATTTTCCGCCTCAAGCTCAATCTTTTAAAACAACGCCGTTCCTTAGGGCGCATTAGTTTTATCAGACTGACTAGAATAGGATTCTGCTCGGGTGCATGTAATATATTCCGGGCACGCATATGTAAGAACTGCGTTTCTGACTCTGCTCTCACTTTCCGCGACAGGAAGGCTGCTTCTGTTTATTTTTTGGGATAAACACTATATATGCACGATACTGACAGATGTGTTCAGTGTTGCTGATCATTTTTACTGTTTACCTGCTGGTAGCTGATCAGTATTACACCTTGCTACACTTCAGTGGGCCTTTGTCATTGCAGGTCTAGCTGCTAGTCCAATTCCTACTACTAATAAAGAATAATCAGCTTTTTACAGCTTTGCACAGAGCAAATTTTGGGAAAGGGTATTAGATGGCATTAAATGCTGACTGGATGTGCTACTTCCGAGGACTGCTAAACTTGCAGATTCAGATTCGGCACTTACCTAAATACTGTCGACTTTGTAATTTAAACCTTTATTTGGCAAAGCAATTTACAGATTATAGTTGCATATTTATTTTGAATAGACATTAATGACATCCTGTAAGACTTGTTAGGCCATTAATGACATCCTGTCTTCATTTCCTATCCTCGTAAAACGCAAAATCCTGCTTAGTAAATTACACCTGTCTGGTTACCCGTGTGGGCGTAACTTTCTCTGCTCTTGTATCATTGCAGTTAAGCTATATTTGGATTGCCTAAACTACAGCATAGCCTATAGCAAATAATAATAGGATCATGTACTTCCACACTGAAAGTGAGATATATTAACTCGGGCATCTCTGAAAAGTGTCACCCGAGTTTTAACTTAGACAGCTCTGCACAGCTCGTTATTGCCATCATCCCAGACTGAGTGATGTGACCTCATGGAGGAATCAATCACTCCTACCGGCATATTAGGAAATGACAGTCTGTCACAGTTCTGTAATTTTAATATTGTGTTTTAGAACTGATTGATCTCTTAATGGTGAAAGGAGAGCAAATGCGCTTGAATAAAGTTAGATTCGAATGACTCTTTTCAAGGAGAAAAAAAGTTATTCATCTTTAAACTTGTGTACTTTTGTTGAAATGTATTGACTGTTATATATAGTATAGTATTAATATATATCAAATTCAGGCACACAGTTTGCTTGCAAGGGCGATAGTAGAGTTGATATGTGCTTATACTCCATCTAAGAAGATACATTAATGGCATAGTGGTGTCACAGTCTGCAGTGCTGGAATGACACTTTGCAAGGTTTTAAACATTTTATGATGCATATTCTTGCTGTAATCTTCAAAGTTCTAAGACCAAACTATGCCAATCCCGATCTGATTCTCACCACTCTAGTGCCCTCTGTTGACACTTACTTCTTTCATTGCAGTTGATAGTCAATTTAGTATGCATCTTTAGCCCTATACATAGATTGCAAGGTACAGCGCAAATGGAACGTTTTGCATTTTATCTATTCAATGATTTGTAATAGCGTTTTTATGGTATACTTGACTTATCGCGTCATGAATATCTATAAAAAGAAGCCCAGTGCAGTGCAAGGTCATCATGGCCCAAGGACAGAAAGTTTAAATTAAAACATTAGTCATGTTTTGGTCTCCTTTGGTCTCCTGTACCTCATTATTGAAGAGCCTTTTTTCATTTATCATTTAATGACGGCCTTTATGGAGACTAAAATTAGTACTACTTAAGGAATAACATAGTAGTGAAATAAAGAGAGGGTAGTGATTATGATTCTCAGGAGCTTTATGGGTGTCACAAAGCGAGAAGTTTTAAAGTTCTTTGTCATCTTTGGGCAAGAGGCTCATTTTGCTTGGAAGTATTTAGTGTATTATACACTTTGCAGTCCAAATACAATGAATTAGTCTGAGAAAATTATGTACCAGCTTCTGACATGCTTTTTCTTTTAAGGTTCCCACAGTGACTTGACTGATGTTGGTCTTAGAAATTAAATCAAAGTTTTATTAAGATAATTTATAGGCCAAATTAGCACAGTGAAATATCCTGACTGTGATTAATGGCTTGTCGCAATGGGCAAACAAACATCCGCTCACTTTCCTCTTGGCTGGATTAGAATGCGAGTTATTTTGTCAGGTTCCTGCACGGAAACTTCTGGGCAAATGGCTGACATGGCTGTTTGAACGCATAATCGTTGCTGACAGCCATAAATCGACTGCATTGCGTTCAGTACATCTATTTATCCTTTTCGATTGACAACCTATTTAGTATGCTAATACCTCCCTATTGATCATACATGAGTCTCATGATCAGTGTAGCAAACATCAAACCAACTTGTGTGTAGACATGTGGCTTTACCTTTCGATATTCCAATGAACTTGACCTTTAAACTTAGTATATTTCTATCAGAGGTTTGAAATGCTTATTTTCATTTGTCTTTGTATCTCTTATTTTAAGTAGCTTAGATATGTAGTGAATTATGCCAGTAGTGGTTTGACTAAGTGCACATTTTCTTGCGCAATAAGCACATTCATGTGAATATGTACCAGTAGCGCTGGGTGATATATCGTCTATAGAGGTGATGGTGGGCAATATGACAGAAATATAACATTATGTTACTCACTTTATACAATATGTATCATGATATTTAGTTTTCCTGAGACTTGATAAGTTGGAACACACAAGAAGTACTGCTACATTTAAGAAATACCGTAAAGAATTATGAATATAATAATGATAATTTATTCAACATTTCACTTTACTACATTAAATTCAATTAAAAGGCTTAATAATGCACTATTCTAATGAAATATGCAGTTTTCATTTTCATTTTGCGTTCTTCAAGTACCAATCTTATCCACAATGTGCCCAGAAAAGCATTTTGTGACGTATATTATCAAGATAGTGATAGATATAGCCCACTATTATATACCAGTATGCTAGTATAGGGGTGACACGGCACACATTGATTTTTAGTTTTCGTGAAATTGATCAATAAAAACTTTTTTGAGAAAAATGGACTTGTAATTTCTCTCTGGGTAATGTTTACAGTGTTGTGTAAGGTTCCCTTTGGTGTAACTGTTCAATTACCAATAAGCTATTACATTTTAGTACTAGTATTTAAGAAGCTTGAGTTCATTAATTTTATTATTGCTAACTTAACTATCATCTGATACCGTGATATATTTCGAAAATATTGAGATATTTAATTTTAACACTATCACCCTGCACTATGTATTGAAAACAGAGATCAGCTACCAGACTCATAATGTGCTAAAGGAGAATAATGAATAAAAAAGACATGCACGGCCCCAGCGGATGAGAAGATTGACATCCTGACTAGAGAGGAGGGAAAGCAGGTAGGGGAGGCTGCTGAACAGCTGGCAGGGGGGCGATGGGCCTCAAGCTGCTGATGGCAGGAGGTTGAGGGCAAATTCAAACAAGACATTGAAATGTCAAAGAAACACGCAGGCGTGAGGTTCCTTGAAACCGATGGGGAGAGCAATGTCTGAGTGATGAAAATGAATGACTTACAGTAAGTGACATGCTTTAGGCACTTGTCCCAGATTAACTTCCATAAGCACCCTTAATAATTCTGCGAAACGCCTTCACGGTTTAATTACAGCTCTGATTTGGCTCCTTCGTTAGAACCTGCGAATCTCATGCACCTTCTTCCAAGAATCCCCCACCCGTGTTCCACAGACAGTCATAGACACTCTTGATCCATGCAGACAATTATTCAAAGCAAAGCTCCCATTGCGATGTAAGATGAAGTGCACTCGGGGCTGGCGGGATATTTTCCTCCTTGACAGCCCGGCTCATAATAAAAACAGGCAGCTCAGTCCATCACATTGTCTTGTAAAGTGATCCACACTCGGTGCGTTCCTCAGCTCCAGCTCCAGAGGGAAGGGTGGCTTTTGCCTACTCTGTGGAATCCATGGTCCAGCGCTCAAAATAGATCACTGGAACCCAGTGCAAGCAGGAAAAATGTCCTCACTGACACTTGCACATGTGATTTCTCTCGACACGTTCTCCCAATACGCTAAAAAGCTGCAAGTTTTCGAAAGATTGAGAAAGTTGAACCTCAAAGCCTTGCAAATCTATCTAGAGCATAGTTTTGAGAGAGTTGGTCCCAAGAGGAAATCTGAGCATAAAATGGCTATACATGTTTTGCAACAAGATAAACTGTCCTAAATATGGTGAGGAATGACATGTGGGCTCCCTTGTGGAATTGTCTAATCCTAGGCTCCATGTCCCTGGATAGCAGAGCTCCTTACAAAATGCCAGACAGCGCTCACTTGAGCTTGTGCTTATTCTGTGTACACTATTCTATTCTATTTTGGGTTACGTAAGTTCAGCAGGGCTCATTTTCAGAAGGATTGTACATCTCATTATTATTGTATATTTCCAGAATTATGAATAAACAGGCATGGTGGGGTTGTATCAAGCTGGATTTCGCACAACAAAGGACTTGAAAGAGGTGGCAGTCATACCGAATGCATTACAAAGGCCTTCCCACGTCATCCTTAATATAAGACAGAGCTACTGTATGTCGAAGAATCTAGATCATCTTTTCATCTTTTATTCACCACTCTGCAATGCACTCCTTAGCCAGGGAGTTCTCTTCATTATGCATTGTTGGGCACAGCCTAGGACTCTTTCGAGCTTATCGCAGTACAGTAGGTGAATAGTAATTGCTCGGCCTCGCTGGCTAAAAAAAGGTCCAAACTTCAAAGCAAAGCAAATCATGATCTCCCTGTTTCTCCAAAGGACAACATATAGCTACCAGTTTGCGAATCAGTATGAAGAACAAGCCGCTCATTGATCACTGTCATGTAAATAGCGTGAGCAGCGCTCCTGTGTCCAGTACACCTTTAATGAGTCTCTCCAGAGGTCTGCCACAGAGCACTCACCGCAAGAAACAGAACATGCTCTGACAGCACAGACCTCAGCCAGCCTCTGTTTGCCGTACTTGCACATCAAAACAGCCTCTATGACCCCCATATATTTAAAGAAGTCATCCTTCCAGAGGGAGCTTATGGAATCCTGATGGTAAATGTCACGCTCATATCATCAACTTATGATTAATTTTTGATGGATCTCCAAGCCTGGACCATTGTGTGTCTCTGTCACTGAGGCCAGAAATGTTTTGAGTGATTTGTTCATTAGACCTCCATAAATTTGATGTGCAAATGCAAAAACTGTTCACATCAGCCTGAAGATTTATTATTTGTGTCCCCCTTCTGTTGAATATTTCTCGAATATCCTTTTATGAAACTTTCAGAAAAGAGCACTTTATTCTCTCTGCCCTTGTTCTACTGTCACATATTAGAGTCATTAATATGCTAAAGCTATATTTAATGTATCCTTCCTTCAAAAAAGGCTGCACAAGAATCTGTCAACTCTTGGGGGCAAAGCTTTTTGGAGTCAAGCAAATTAAAGATGCATAGATTGTACTTTTTAAACTTTCATATTGTTACCATTGCTTTGATTAAAAGAAAGAGAAAGCGAGTAGAATGGCTTTTCAGTGTGTCTGGGGAAATTACAGAAATCACATTTTCTTACAGAAATAGCACAGCATATGAAACTCTGTAAAGTAACAATACCCAGACTTGGGAAGTGTTAGGCATCTTCCCCACCAGTGTTCAATGACCTAGTTGAGCTGCTGGCGCAGAGTGAAGGCCTCAGCCCTCTGGCAACTTTTATTTATATTATGCCCTGACAGGATTGATGTGGCCATCGAGTTGGCAACAAACGCCAAAATGTTGATTCATAAATCATGTCAGCGTGCTTTAGAAATGTGGCTTCGGATTCTACTGTGTGATAATTATGATCGTTCGCCAGAGCCGTTTTTCTTAAAGTGATCAAAGAACTCATTATTGTGGATAATTGCGGAGAATACTCAAGATAACTAGGCTATAGATAATACAATAAAGCAAATCTTATGTAGTACTGTATTTTACGCCATTGAACATTTAACCTATGCATTTTAAAAGTGGAGCTGTAAGAAATGTTGAAAAATAAAACAATAGATTATACAGTTGCTTGTTTCTTGAAGTGCTTAACAGCTTTAATTAGGGTGATTGTGAAAGTTAAGTGAACCTATAACAGTCCCTTGTCCATACAGTCAGCATTTGATGGGGAGCACCAAAGGTTAATTGTGTTGAACACCACTAAATGCTGTCCCATAGATTTAAGGAGCAGCCTTGCTCATCACTTGTTAAGATGTGAAAGGTCAGTTACAAAAACCCCAGAGAGAAAAGGATGCTAATTATAGCTGAATGTGTAATTGTGTGTTACATGGTTGTGGATACAACAATTATCTTTCCCTTTTTTCTATTCTTCCCTTATTACCATAGAAATTACAGACCTTACAAGAAGAGATCCCCGCCCACTCTGAGCATGGACGTGGCGAGCGAGGCCCATGTTCTGGTGCTTTTCCTCACCTGCCTGGTGTCACTGTGCTGGGCCCAGGAGAAGGACTACACGGTGAAAGAGGAACAGCCCGAGAATGTGCGCATTGGAAATCTGCGCAAAGACCTGGACCTGAACCTGGACCCCAACATTAAGCTGTCCTCAGCCCTGCAGTTCAAACCGGTCTATAAGACAGGCGATGTGCCTTTGGTGAGGGTGGAGGCCAGCACAGGGGAAATCTTCACCACTGCTAATCGGATCGACCGGGAGAAGCTTTGTTCTGGAGTCTTCAACGAGAAGCGCTGCTTCTACGAGATAGAGGTGGCCGTGCTGCCAGATGAGATTTTTCGACTGGTCAAGATCCGCTTCCTCATCGAAGACATCAATGACAATGCACCCCTGTTCCAGTCTACTGTCATCAACATATCTATTCCTGAGAATACAGCAATCAACAACCGGTATCCAGTCCCCTCTGCCTTTGACCCTGACGTAGGGATCAATGGGATCCAGCACTATGAACTCGTCAAGGTGGGTGCACTATTATCTCATGCTTTATTAATTGCCATATAATGGATAGTTAATGCCCCTGATAAAAACAGGACTTGTTTTGGGCTCAAGGAGGCTGAGATAATTTACTGTGTTTTGTTTAAGGTAAGTTGTTAATTGTGGCAAGAAGGATGGGAACAATAATGCAGACCATGCGTTTTTCCCCAACTAATTGATGTTCTACTAGAAACTAGTGCAATATTCTCTGTGCCTTAATATAGTCTGCCTAAACCAGAAAGTAGGATAATGGAATGCGTTCCATTACACTATGTACAGCACCTAATGTGTCACAGATGAATTTCATTTTGCATATTTGATCCTGTGTATGCAGTTTAATAACAGCTGAACATCCTGTATTACTCAGGTTATGGTAAAATTCATTTCATAAAGCATATCACCTGCTGTTTCCATGCAAGTCACAATACAATTTCTACAATAAAGTGCAGTGAATGAAGCAAATATTCCAAGTAAATGTGCACTGAGGTTTGTCTTGTGGTTTGATTAAGACTATAGCACACTTCGAAACAAAGAAGTCAAGAGTGTCATTAATGCGTAAAAGAGTAATTTGTACCTTTTCTTGTGAGAATTAGCAGAATCCTTGCTTTCCATGTCTGATTAGGTTACCAATTTGCATTTTTAAAGAGCCTTCACTGCCAAGGCCTCTCCAGTGCACCGCTCTCAGTTGCTCGTGCTTGGAAAATGACCAAACTAATGTTACAGCTAGGCTGCATATTACAATAAATTTGTGCAGCTTCTCCTTTGGGTTCTGTAATTCACTTTCTTATTTATGAATTGGATATCTGAATGTGAATCAAACGCAGGTTCAGTGATGGGGCGTCTAAGCGAATGCAAAATACTGGGGAGAGGCTGTGTTTTTCTTCTCTGAGGTTGGTGCAAACATCCCTTGAGTAGCATCTGGCCACGAATCCACCTCTTGGACTGTGTTTGCATAGTCCTCCGAGAGATAGTCTCTGAAGCTCCCACGCAGTAATAGTTTACCCGGAGAGACGAGCTGATTCTCAGCGTGGCGAAGCATGATTAGCATTGTGGGCCACAGCAGCTGCCGCGCTGTACAGCAAGAGGCTCTGCTGTAAAAGAGCCCCGCTGCTGATCCCCATCTCTGCTCTTTGCTCATTCAAGGCATGTCCTGCAAAGAGGAAGCCCGCCCCGAATGACACGGAGGGGCATTATTGCCTACTCCCGGTTTTAATTGAGGTGCCATATTAATTGTTCCATCAGCATTAGTGTTGCTATGTCACCTGGAACGACGCTTCTCCGGCTTCTGTGGACACCATCAAGGTCAGCCTGGGGAAAGTAATACCATGCATGGCTGGAGGAGGGCTTTCCATTAGAAGAGATTTTATCACTTAAAGAGAGCCTTTTTACAAGTTGTGTCTAGAGGCATGTGGATCAGATCAGGCTCAGGGGATGAAGATATTGACTTTTCTGTTGTGGGTTCCACCCCACATATTGTTATTTTCACTCCACCATTTAAGCACTCTAACCCCACATTAAGATACTAGTTCTTACCCTTTTCACTACTATTTAGATTTAAAGCTCTCTTTATTTCAGTATCCTCTGTGAGTTTTTTTTCTTCTGTGTGTTTAGGATTGATAGACATGTTGTGCTTTAGTGTTTAGACATGCATACATTTACATTTTAAGTTTATTTTTAGTGATATTATCTGTATTATCTCAGTAGTCAAGGAGGAGAGGCAACTAATTAGCACTAATGATTAGGGATGCACTGATATTGGAGGTGATTGCCTGATATCTGATCTTTTGAATGTACACATCTGCCAGTACCGATGCATAAAACTTTACAATATGTGTAAATTAAATATAAATCAACTTGGATGAACATTACAGAGAAATGTAATATTTATGTAGGGTTAAAATGCAATAAAATTAATAGAATGCAGATATTTAAATGCAGTAGCCCAATGTTCTGCTCGTCCAAAGTACAACAAATGCATCATCAAATATCGGTTTGAAATATCAAATCTAAACCAGTGCTGATATTTTTTTAAAGCAAATATCTGCCGATACTGAAAGGATTACACTAACATCATGCATCGCTACTAATGGGAAAGCCTTGACAAGTGACTGATTGACAGCTTAAACCTCTGTACTGTTTCTGTATCAGCTTCAAAGGCTCCAACAACTGACTATAATAAATGGGGCTGTTCTCTAACAAAATAATTAACTACAGCTGGTCAATCAAAACAATTTTTGTTTTCTTGGAAGCAGTTACGCTTACGGTTACAAAAGCCTGTGGATACTCATTAAAATGTAATATTTTAAGGTTTTTGAGGAACTCAAAATGAATAAATGCGCAAAGTGGATGAATTCTGAGGGTAGATGGAGATGGCTGACTAATTTCTATTAGTGTTCTGGATGGCACTGGACAGTTGAGGAACAGAGGAGGCTTCCAGCCATATTGCTCCCTTTCATTTGGTTCCAGATTTCATTTGTGGCTGATTTTTGGCTGGGGGCTTGGACCAGGATTGGTCCAAGGAGACAGCTCTTGTGTTCTGGTCTCAGCCAAATGGTTTAAATCTGATCACAGCCGGTGGCAAAAGAGAAGGAATGAGAACGTGGTCAGAGGATTGAGAAAGAGAGTGTCTTAGCAGCCTCATTCGTTGGACTAGACTTGAGCTCCATATGCAGTGCATTTGTGTATGGCCTGCACAGGTCTATGTACATGTGTGCTGCATATAGACTTTCAGTTGCTATTGACGTCATACAAGGTCGTCTCATTGATTCATAATGGTAGATGCTTCACCTAATCCACATTGGCAGTGTTGAAAGAGACTGAGATTGTGCCATGTGTGCTGAAAACAGCTAGAACAACAACAAAATTGATTTCCTTAGATTACGTTTTCAGTATTTTTTCTGCATTATGTTATTAAAGCATAAATACAGCTGAATACAACACATATTTGGGAAAAAAATAAATAAATAAAAAATTAAAATATTAGGAAACAGGAAAATTTTTCAATAATAAATACTTTTACCACTTTTAATGAAACCAGATGTGAATGAACTGTACAGTGTTAATTTCTGTGAGATCTACCTGTTTTAGAGCTTTAGGCTGCCAGTTAGCTAGCATGCTCTTGCAGTAATTAATGAGAGCATGCTGGATTAGCTAACCAGTGCCACTGAGTTTAATGTGTGCTCACCTAAAAGGCCCTTTTGAGTGACTTAAATCTTGATTTCATAGAAATATGATCAATCCTCTGCTCACTGACAGGAGCTGACCAAAAAAGTTGTTTCTGTTTTTTAAGACAGCGGTTAAAAAGAGAGATGCATCCATCTGCACAGCCAGAAGCCCAGCAGCAGTTTTAGACCATACAGTTTAGTTTCAGTTTAGTTTAGTTTTAAGAAGACAATTTCATGCCATGTTATCTGAGGTTTACAGAACAGATATTCTGTCTGTTAATCATTTAAACAAGAGCTCTCTACATCCATACCATACGACCAACTGTAGGCTACTGTGTGTGCATTTCGCATCATCCGGCTTCAGACAAGACAACACATCAAACATAAGCATTAGCTTACTGTCGAAAAAAACTTTAAAAATTATGTATTTAAATATTTAATATGATTTTTTGCTGTGTACCTGCTGAAACTGGAGCTACTGCTTGCAAGTTTATTCATTTTTTAACAACAAAAGACAAACTACGATAGTCATATTAAAAAAGTATGAAATGTGTATAATAGCTCATCGTTATTCACCACAATTTTTTATTCATCTTCTTGATGAAATAACCACAAGAATTTTTATTCAATCCTTAAAGTGAAACACATGTCTTGACTTTTTGTTATCTTTGTAGAATATTCTAAATTGAAGATACTATTAATTTTCGGTATATTTGAAAATGAAAATATTCAATAGTTTCAGCGCGAATTGTACACAGGACATCTCATACCTGTTTCTGTGTCTTGTGTGGTGTTATCTTCTGTCAGTTACATCCTTCTAAAAAGCAGACTCACCTCATGTGTTTCTCATAATAAGCTGCAGGTCAATGGGTATAAATATGTAGAGATTCTCAAGCAAACATAAGCATTAGCTTGCTTAAGTTTACTGTCAAAAACATGAAAAAAAATGTATTTATATATTTAATATGATTTTTAGCTATGTACCTACTGAAACTGAAGCTACTGCTTGCAAGTTTATTTATTTTTTTAACAACAAAAGAGAAACTACGATAGTTATAAAAAAAAAGTATGAAATGTGTATAATAGCTCATTGTTATTCACCACAATTTTTCATCTTCTTGATGAAATAACCACAATGTAAAAATGTCAACAGATTCTAAAATCATGGCATGGCCTGAAACTACTGGTCTGGAATGACTGGTATAAAGCTGCTGCTGCTTCTCTGGCTCTGCAAATGGATCAAGTTGGTACAAAGATGTTGTTTCCTCTGCTCTCCTGAACCGCTCATCGGTAATGCATTCAAACAGTGCCAGCAACTTGTTCTGTGTTGCCAAATTAGGCAGGATCCCCCAGATTGTCATTTTATGCTGCTTGCTTATCAGTAATGTTTTTTTTTGTTGTTTTTTTTTCGTTATCTTGTAGCTTATCAATTAAGTTTCATTCAAAAGCTTAAATGAAAAGCTTCATTCCTTTTTTTTCAGTCCTTAAAGTAAAACACATGTCTTGACTTTTGGTTATCTTTGTAAAATATTCAAAAATTGAAGATAATATTCATTTTCGGTATATTTGAAAATGAAAATATTCAATAGTTTCAGCGCTAATTGTACATAGGACATCTCCTACCTGTTTCAGTGTCTTGTGTGGTGTTATCTTCTGTCAATCACATCCTGCTAAAAAGCAGACTCACCTCATGTGTTTCTCATAATAAGCTGCAGGTCAATGGGTATAAATATGTAGAGATTCTCAAGCAGCATGCATATTACTTTCAGATGATTGTCACTTCCCTTGGGCTGGTGATTCATGCTCTTTTGACTCTTCCTTAGCCTGCCTGAAGGTAATCAGAATCCCCCAGCCTCATTTTATATGGGCCAGACTAGAACAAAGTGATGATTGATAACTCATACAGCCTTTGGCCACAGAAAAATATAGCTCATTAGATCCTCTGTGTATTGTCTGCAGATGCCCATGTAAAACAAAACTAAACATAGACATCTAGTCAAAGAGATCCAGTCCTCACATGCCTCATAACCCATGGCTATAGTGAATGCTTTGTAGCATCTTGACTACAAAACAGTATGTATTACTCCAAGGAGTAGAAGGAATTTAAATGTTCTGTATATTTCTGCATTGAAATGGGAATTGTGAGCTGGGACAAAATCTAATATTAAATATTTTCATATATGTCTTCCAATGCTGATACCAATGCCAATACATAAACAATTGTAAAAAAGTAGATATTGATAATTAACCTGTATTAGTATTAGAGAGAAATAAGATATTTATTCCTATAGAGTTATAGATGCAGTAAAGTGAATAAAAATCACTTAAGAGTCACTTAAACATTCTGCTTTTCTGGGATACAATAAACATGTCATGAAATATCAGTTGGAAATATTCCTGAAATCTAAACAGCCATACAATGCCAACAGTTGTTTAAGCAATTATATGCCAGTACTGATATGAACCGATAACGTTATGCAGAAGAGATATGCACTAATATGGGAAATGGTTGACCAATGTCAATATACAATATTTTTCACGTACATATCTGCCAAAACCGATACATAAATATTTATAAAAAATAGAAACTGAGACTACATCTACCTGGATTAGCATTAAGGAAAAATATAACGTTTATTTCTGAATGGTTGCAAATACAATAAAATAAACAAAATGAAGATAATTTAGTGCATTAGCCTTATGTCCTGCTCAAGAGTACAATAAGTATGTCATTGAATGTCATTTATATTGATATATTGATATAAGCCAGGCAGTACAAATGTTGTTTTTATTGGTAATCCATGTGAGAGTATTTGTGTAGATATTTAATGTTGATTATGTTATGATTCTCAGTGCTCTGTTAACCCATTTTCATGTTTATGGTACTGACTGAGTTGGCTACAGATGGTAAAATCACAATCTGTGCCAAGAACCACCAAAGAAGATATGTTTCATGTTTTTGAAGTACGTAAGTCTGATTTTGTCAGTATAACAATGTGTGCTGCCTGTTGCCATGACAGTTACTATATGGTGTTAGCAAGGTGCCAATAAATTGTGGTTTGTTAAAGTCATTCTAAATTAGTCAAGTGAAACCTTTATGTGGTACATGCATATATCTTAATCGCCTTTGAAATATGTGCCTAGACAGAGTAATCTCTGTCGGCATTATGCGCACCATGAAGCTTATCTCTTAAGGAAGATGCGTTTTCTTGTTTTAGCATGAAAATGTTTCTGACTGAAAGAGCTTCAAAGAGCCTCTTTGTTTCTCAAATGTGCTTGACTCTCATTCAAGCGCTGAGCCCTTTTCCCCCTCTGTCTTCCTCTCTTGCTTTACCTCGGAAGGATAGAATATGTTGCCTGCTTTCAGCTTCTCCATGTAGCCTGATCTGTAATCGTAAATATTAGTGCTAGTTTTGAAAGGAAGGCAATTACTTTGAACAGTCAAAGCTGGTTTCTCATGGGGATTACATATGCATTTGTTTTCCTTTTCCTTAGGCTTCACTGTTGCCTAGATTTAGCCCTCCTTGGGAGAAAAGCTTTTTTAAATGTTCAGCTTTTTTCTCTCTTTAGTCTATGGTGGTCTTGCAGTGTATTTAAAATGGAAGCTTATCTGTCTGGCCTCCTTTTCAGCTGATTCTCTAACATATGAACTTGAAATCAGGTGAGCTGTCTCCACTATACCAAATCAACGCTTGGTGAAAAGGTAAAATAGAATCTCGTTTTAGGTGCAGCATAGCAGAGTGCACTGGAGGGGGAATAGGGCTACATCCACAATTTCATTAAAGTACCACTGTGAGGCTGGACAGCGTAGCTTTGTAACTCGAATTGATTTGGTCTGTTTGCTTTGTACTCTCCACAACAGGGACACTGTATTTGGATGTCAAAGTTGCCACTTTAAAAAACAGTCTATAAAATAAATATATGCATCATGAGGAAGGCAAGAAGAATCAAATTAAGGGCATAGTAGTACTTCCTGAAGTGACTCTAAAAGCAATTTGAACACTAATTTCTGTTTCGATAAGCAAAAAATATCTGAATGTCATATATTTCATTTTCCCCTTCCTGACAGCTTTTGATTGTTTACCAAATTCTGGTCATGATTAACTTGAAGAGCAAAAAGAGCACAGAGTGCAACACATAGAGCAGTGCATCATATATTAGCTTTCAGGTGCTTCATGCGAGTGTTTACCCTGTGTGCAGGAGCCAGTGTTTGCATAAGTCTTTGCTTTATAAGTGGATCATATCCCCTGGTTGTGTTTTTTTAAGTCAATATTTTCAAGACCTTATGCATTTTCTAATAGGATTAAAGAACTTTAACCCTAAGGTTTGTTGCTGCAGCTTGAATAAACATCTATTTAAAGCCAAAATAAACTACAGCCTCTGACATTTATTGGGGAGAGGGATTGAGCTCTTTGCCTATGTAAAAGTTATGTAAAGAAAATCACGTATTATTTTGGAAAACTGACTTTTAACAGCACCACATAGCACATTCTTCCCCCAGAGTAAAAAATGGATTCACAAATACTTTATTTTTTCTCTCTTTTTCAGAGTGTGAGTGAGTTCGGCCTGGACATCATCGAAACTCCAGAGGGAGACAAGTGGCCCCAACTTATAGTCCAGCAGAACCTGGATCGAGAAACGAAGGACACCTTTGTGATGAAAATCAAAGTGGAAGATGGTGGCAACCCTCCAAAGTCCAGCACAGCCATTCTCCAGGTCACTGTCTCAGATGTGAACGACAATCGTCCGGTGTTCAAGGACAGTGAAGTGGAGGTGAACGTGCCTGAGAATGCCCCAATGGGGACATCAGTCACACAACTTCATGCCACCGATGCTGATCTGGGCACCAACGCCCAGATCCACTTTTCCTTCAGCAACCAAATCTCCCCAGCTACCAAACGACACTTTGCTATCGACAGCTCAACTGGATTGATTACCGTCAAGCAACCACTGGACAGAGAAACCAACCCAGTCCACAAGCTTATTGTCCATGCCAGTGATGGCAGCACCACCCCTTCAAGGGCTACCGTGATAGTAAATGTAACAGATGTTAACGACAATGTTCCGTCTATAGACACTCGGTATATAATGAACCCCATTAATGGCACTGTATTGTTATCTGAAAATGCCCCTCTAAACACAAAAATAGCTCTAATTACTGTGACTGACAGAGATGCTGACCTTAATGGTAAAGTGACATGTTACACTGATCATGACGTACCCTTTCGGTTGAAGCCAGTTTTTAACGACCAGTTCTTGCTGGAAACTGCAGCACCCTTAGATTATGAGACTACTCGAGAGTATGCAATTAAGATAGTTGCTTCGGATTCAGGGAAGCCTCCTTTGAACACTTCCGCAATGGTCCTCATTAAAATCAAGGATGAGAATGATAATGCCCCAGTTTTCCCTCAGCCAGAGATTCAGCTGTCCATCCCAGAGAACAATGACCCTGGCACACAGCTGATAAAGATCAGTGCCACAGATGCAGACAGTGGTTCTAATGCCCTTATTATTTATTCCCTTGGCCCAGATGCACCTGATGGCTTTAGCATAGACTCTCGATCTGGTATACTCTCTGTTAGCAAGCGGCTGGATAGAGAAAAACAAGAAAAGTATTCCTTCACAGTCATTGCCAGGGATAATGGTTCTAACCCTCTGCAGAGCAATGTCACCGTGAAGCTAATTGTCCAAGACCAAAATGACAACAGTCCAGCCTTCACCCATCCTGAATACAATTTCTATGTGCCTGAGAACTTGCCTCTGTACGGCACAGTTGGTTTGATCACAGTTACTGATGCAGATGCCGGCGATAACGCTGTGGTCACTCTCTCAATCATAAATGGGAAGGACAATTTTATTATCGACCCCAAAACTGGTGTGATCAAACCAAATATTACGTTTGACAGGGAGCAGCAAAGTTCCTACACCTTTGTAGTCAAGGCCGTGGATGGAGGACTGGCTCAGACAACTTCATATGCCAAGGTTACTATAAATGTTGTTGATGTCAATGACAATCGGCCGGTGTTTGTCATCCCCCCCTCCAATTACTCCTATGACCTCGTCCCTTTCACAACCAGCCCCGGCTCTGTGGTGACCAGAGTGTTTGCCATTGACAACGACACTGGCATGAATGCAGAGCTGCAGTACAGCATCATTGGAGGGTCATCAAGAGGACTGTTTGCTATTGACAAAACTACAGGAAACATTACCCTGCAGGAGAAGATTGCGAATGCTGATCAGGGCCTCCATAGGTTGGTGGTGAAGGTCAAAGACTTAGGCCAGCCAGAATCCCTGCATGCAATTGCCCTGGTTCACTTGTTTGTGAATGATACTGTATCCAATGCCACATTCATTCAGGAGCAAGTGCGCAAAAGCATGGAAACTCCTTTGGACAGAAATGTTGAAGACAATGATGTCATCCCTCAGACCAGTGGCTATGTGATTGTTGTCATAGCCATAATTGCTGGGACTATGACTGTCATATTGGTTATTTTTGTGACTGCTTTGGTACGTTGTCGACAGACGCCCAGACACAAAGTTGTTCAAAAGGGCAAGCAGAGTGGCGAGTGGGTGTCACCAAACCAGGAGGGCCGTCAGATCAAAAAGAAGAAGAAGAAAAAGAAGAGGTCCCCCAAGAACCTGCTGTTGAACTTTGTGACTATTGAAGAATCCAAGTCTGAAGACCCTACTCATGAGCACATCAATGGCACCTTGGACCTCCCAGTTGAGCTTGAGGAGCAGACAATGGGGAAGTATAACTGGGCCACCACGCCAACAACCTTTAAACCTGACAGCCCTGACTTAGCCAAGCATTACAAGTCGGCCTCTCCCCAGCCTACCTTTCAGATCAAACCAGAGACCCCAGTGGCTCCTAAGAAGCACCATGTGATTCAGGAGCTCCCCTTGGACAACACGTTCGTAGTTGGCTGTGACTCACTCTCCAAATGCTCCTCCAGCAGCTCCGACCCGTACAGCGTCTCAGAGTGCAGCTGTCAAGGGAGCTTCAAGCCAGCCGGGCAAATCCACACCCGACAGGTAATTCACAACTTCCTTTCTAACCCCCTTCACTGTTCCTGCTCATGCCCCCCGTCTCACTGCCCTTCTGTTGGAAAGACTCTGGGTGGAGGGTGGCAGGGGTGCAGGCAAGGATTCAACCCTACAAAAGCTCAAACATGCATAAACGCCTATCAGCACTGAGTATTAAGAAAGCGGTGGGAAGAAAAAAACAAAAAAAAACCTTACACCCAAGGAGAAGGCATCTGTTGCACTTTTAGCTGGTTGCTCTTATCAGTCAAAAGACGCATTTCAGTTCTACCTCAAAGAAAAACAAATGTAGGAAAGGAACAATTCATTATTAGAGGAAACACTACAAGAAAAAAGACATTAGAAAAACTCACAGTTTGGGTTAAAGTAATATCAGCTCTTGTCAGCCTTTAGGAAGGATAGATTTGATCATGTTTTTCTGTGAATGCATCAAGTTATTTTCTCCCAGAGAGAAATTTCATTCTAAAGAGTAATTATTAGACAGCCACACAAAAAAATGCAACAAATGAGAGAACTACAGCTTTCAGCACTGAGATTACAGCGATGTTTGTTCTTGATTGACATACCAAAACCAGGCATGCTTGACAGCAAACCAAACAAGATAGAGTTGCATTCCACAGGCACAGCTGAACAGATGCACATGGCTGAAACAATTGTTTTCTACAGAAATGCTTGATAGACCTCATTAGAGCCGAAAGTTGTAAAGCTACAGAGGACGGCTGATTATTTTTCCACCACAATTCAGAACGCACTCCATTACAAGTTGTCTCAATGGGGAAGCACCGGCGTTAATGAGAGAAAGGTTCATTTGATTGCTAGTGTATTTTAGCTTATGATTCCCGGTGAGATGTGCCAAATGCAAAGTGGCTAATAAATAAAAGCAGGCGAGGGAAATAAATGGAAATGTGGGGTGGAGTGAGAGGTGGCCTCAAAGCGACAGGTCCTGCTTGTGGAGACGAAGACTGAGCACTACGATTGTGGGTCAGAGAGATCAAGGTGAAGACAGAGCTTTGGGACCTAGAGACTTAAACAGAAGAAGTAAATTCACTAATAGCTTTCAGCACCATCCATTTTCCCCCGTCAGCTGGTTGTTTTTTTTAATAGCCAGGCAGAGTCTGTGCTCTGTTCACCAGTTTCATGGCCAATTTCTTGGCCAGGCTGTGTGACATTGTGAGTACCTCATGACAGTTATTCCACAAACCTAAAATAATTATGATTGAAGATTTGTTTATTACTTTTTGAGGATTCTTGTCGTTCAAGATAGCAAGGGAGGAGACTTTCTTTTGTTTTTGTTTTGTTGTTGGATTTGTTTTCTGCCTTCGTGCCTGTCCTTAATGCAGGAAATCCCTCTCTGCATATTCCTTGCAAATTAGAGTATATCCACTCAGATATATTATGTGCATGATGATTTAAGGTGACACCCACACACAGCTGATAGTCCCTTTTGCCATCAGCCCTTTCTTTCAGAATGCAGCTAAAAGCATTGCTCTGCCATGGTGCATTACACATAAGCCTACTTACATGGTCAGATTACTAAAGAACACATAATTTCTCTTCATAATTCAGTTTACGTTTGTTATTTGTTCTGTCAAGTTGTCTGACTGGCTTTTCACTGGTTCATGTTCAGTGTATTGCAAAACATGCAGAAACATTTGTCTAAGGTTTTGAAATATTGCGTCAGAATTTAGTGAATCATGTCTGTGATAAACAGACCAAAAAAAAGAAAATGTACCTGGACCACATTCCATTTCCCTGATGTACCCTTTTCTAATAAAAATGCACACCCAAAGCTGCTGCTGAATACATTTTTTATATTCCACATTGAGTTTAATGGTGTGTTTCTAGGGGAAATGTTTTGTTTTCTAGCTTATGTACATCTTAAGGACATCCATTTTTTATCTTACCTTTCTTTTTTACAACCTAGACCACTGGCTTATACCAGTCAAAATACAAAAACCTATACAATTCCCTGCCTGCATTAATTAGCTCTCACTAAAGGTTAGGCTGAGCTCTTAAAACTAGCATAGAAAGTACCCTTGTATGGTCTGTAATATGCAGTACATTAAGGTAGATTAAAGTAGAATTTGAAGTCTTTACTTTTGACACAGTATTGATTATGGACTATCTACGTTATGGCTACATCTGGCATTAGACTTAAGCTACAATTTGAAAAGGTTCTTTTTCAGAAACCATATTTCTTAGTTACTGGATGTTTCATATTCTGGATAAATAGTGACTTCAAAGCACACTGTTGACCATTCACTGTCTAAGTGTGCAGGTTGATAAGTTGTGTTGACTTTGAAGCTTGCTTTGAAAAGCAGCCCAATGACTATATCACGACGTCTGAAAATCAGAGCATCTAAAAGCATTCATCATAATAAAGGGATGATAGAGAACATTCATAGAATCATTCAGAGATGGTTTTCTTTCAGGAAACACTTGCAGATGAAGGTCAACTGGATATTTAACAGGACTTAGAGCTGTGACAGCTAAAGAGAATCGCTTGTCAAAATACTTCAGAGGCAACATATTTATGGCACCATATGGCTCATAATACTGTAAGAGGTCCATTTGCTGGATTCAATGCAGCACGAGATCCTCTTTCGCTCACTCCCTTCCTCATACCCATCACACTGTCTCTCTTTTATCTCCTGCTCTCCCGGTTCTCAGCCGGTGATTTTAGAGGTCAATCCCCCCCGGTGATGGGGGAGCTTCAGTTGGAATACACGCTTTGGTTGTGGAAGATCAAATAAGTACCAAGCTACTTGACTGTTCCCTGACAGACCTATGAATATGCAGTAGCATAAAAGCCAAGAAGATCTTTGTTTGGCCTGTATATTCAGAAAGTCCAGGGGTGTTTCTGAGGTGAGTTTATTTGTCATAGTAACCTCTTGTGATTTAGCTTGTTTTTGTATAGCCATGCAAAACAGATGCATATTGTATGTATCATTAATATAGATTGGCTCACAGATTTATTGGAGCTCATACAGCATTGGGCATTTACTTTGCATCAAGATTCATGGTGCATTCAGCATTTCAGAAACATCATAAAATATGAGAGAGGCTGTCCTTGAGTCCCCGGTTTGTGCTCTGACCAACCTGAGTTTCAATAATTCAAATTTCACTTCAGTTTTAAATCTCGCTGGGCACAGGGCAGATGTGCCTTGATTTTGAACTATGTAGATGTTTTTTTAACATCACGCCATCAAGAAAACATCAAGATTTCCTTTGGATTTTTCTCAGTATTGATCATTTGTGGTAATGACCAACCCCAGTTTATTTATGCGTTTAGCTCGTCACAATACGCTGTAGAAATATTTTTTAAAAATTGTATTGCTTATTCCTCATTCCCCAAAACCACAAGATTGTAAAATATAATGCCAGCTGACTTTTATATTGCAGGGAAATTTATTAATGAGCGGACCAACAGAAATGGTCTAAAATGACCCAGTAAAATCTTGTTACATTAAGTTACGTTAAAATCAGTGACTATATTTTCATACATATAGTACTGTGCAAAAATCAGAGACCAGCATTAATTTATTTAATTGCCAGTCAAAACAGCCATTAAGTTATTAGTTTTTTTTCAGTGTCAAGAAAAAAGGCTGAAAACAGAAAATCAACTAAATATAATATCAGATGTTTCAGTATGAAGTGTCTTTGCCTTTATTACAGCTGTCATTCTTTTCAGGAGACTTGCTTCTGGAGAATTTTTCAAAGAACACTGCAGGGATACTTTTCCACACCTCCAAAGTTCAGTCTTAGAAGTTGGTTGAACTTCTGCTTCTCATGATCCAAGTAATCACAAACAAATTCAGTGATATTGAGGTCTGGACTCTGGGGTGGCCAGTCCATTGTTTGGAGAACGCCAGCAGCTACTTTGTTTGATTTTATTTTTTTTTCTGTCTACTTCCTTTTCTCATTAGATGCTAAGTTATACTTAGCAGAGACTCACAGATGGTGCGAGAACCTGAAGCAAACATGTTAGCATTTACAGTAGCGCTTCCATTGCTGCAGTTTTCTCTGTGATATGGCATGGTAAAGGTATCATACACACTCGATTTCACTCATTTTGAATGTAGCACCGCGTGCGCAGTGAGCGCCAAGTTACAAAAATTCAGAGGTGCACGATAGCATGCGAGATCAGAAGTGCCATGGTTGCATAATTTCTGGCGCACACGCCCTTGCACCACTCACAACGTGTCAAGTATAAACCTAAGCTGTGTTTGAAATAGCCAACTATATACTGCTCATGTGCTGATCCTGCCAAATAGTAGTAAGTAGTATGCAGAATGTGACCAACATGAATTTCTCCTGGATGAAGTACTGCTCTGAGCATTTATTGCAGTACGCTGCCAGAGCTGTCGCCGTATTATACTGCATCCCAAAATGCATCGCGGTCGTTTCAGGAGGACGTAACCGCCTGGATATTTTTGATAGCTCTGGATTCAGCCTTTCAATACATTAATAACAACAAAATGAAAGAAATTTGCCAAATGCTGCTGCGCTCAGTTCCACACTGAAGCCACACCAGCTTTCTCTGCTGGTCTTGAGGTAGGTTTGTTTACTTTGCCTATTTAAAAGTTAACTTTCTGCATAACGTGAATAAAACAGTAACTCGGCTCCACTGAGCAGCGGCTTTTCAGGCTCCCATTCGGAGTCACACTGTTTGTTATTCAGTCTGACTAGCTCATATTACCAACTTCGAGTGTAATGAAAATGACTCGCAAAAGGTGAAAAACAGACCACACACACACCTGCCACCTTCCAAAGCTGCCATTTTTAAAGTTTTAAAAATGAGTAAAAACAACTTCTTGTCCTCTGTGGAGCGGATATACTTTTTTGTGGATTTTCCCAATTTGGTCATCCAATTCCACCTACTAGTTAGGACTCCCCCCATCACAGGGCGAAAGCTAGCACAGGCTTCCTCCGCATCTTTTCGAACTGCTGCTTATGCAACATCATTGGACAGCTGAACACTCTCAGAGGAAAGCACCAACCGCCAGTTCTGTTACGTCAGCTAACAGACGCCGGCGCTGACTTGCTTCGCACTGAGTGATGGGAGGAGACGGGGGAGGGGGGTCCTACCCACCCAGAGAAAGCGAGGCCATTTGTGCTGTTTTGGACTCCCAGCCATGGATGGCTGCAGCATCACCAGGGATCTAACTCATGATCTTCTGATGATAAAGCCAACGCTTAGACGGTGGCACCACTCGGGAGTCTTGGAGCATATATTTTAAAGTCACACAGGCACATCTCACAACCAAAATATAAACATGCACGCTGAAAAGCGGCTTGCAGCAGTTGCTAAGCAGTGATTGGAAGGTTTAGGAAAATTGGGCGGGTGTTGGGCTGGTCTGACTAGCTCATTCCCAGGCTAGTCGCATCCCTGTCATGTAGTACAGCACATGGCTTGTGTCGTATGCTGGATACTGTACAGTGAACTACTGATGAGGAGTAGCAGTACATACTGATGCAGTATACAGTGCACAGTATGCCATTTCTAACACAGCTCTAGGTTATTGGCTTCTTAACAGCTTCCCTTTCAAACACATAGTGTTGAGTTGTCCTCTCACATTGAAAGAATGGTCAGAAACACCTGTGGATTTTTTCAGATCTGAAAAAAGAGTGGAGCTTGATTTTCTTATACCTCGCAAAGACAAAAGCTTTAAGGACGGTTTATCTGATGGTGACAGTTTTGGTGTCTACCAGGTCTTGCATGGTTGTTAGGAGGCCCATTTTCTCTTTATCTTTGAATAATTTTTTGTACTCCAGTTTTGGAAACTTGTTTTTTACACTTACTTTCCTTTGACTTTCCCCTTACCTATGCAAGTGGATTGTTATATTCAATCTTCCCAGAAATCTCCTGAAAAGTCAATAACTTGTACTTAATGACTGTTTTGACTGGAAATGAAATAAATGAAAGGGTAGTCTCTGACATATATATATAGACAAGACAGTTGCCTCTCTGTCTCAATGGGACAGCCTTTGGAAGACGATGTTTTCTGAGTTCACTCTCCCTTAGTAAATAGGGTTCTTTTTCATTTACTTGCTTGACCAAGCCCCAGAATATTACCTGTTCTGAATAATTTGCTGAAAAAAAAACTTTTCAGACAAGCTTTGAGGAAGCACCAGCTGGCTGAAAGTCTGAGGTGTTACCCTCCTTCAATACTGTAGCTGTAATTTTCAAATTCCGTATGTCATTAAGGGATTGAGCCACCTGTGAAGCCCACATTAAAGAAAATTTGCCCAAACAAAAGTGAATACATAGAAAGAAAAATAAGCTTTGTGTTCCACTCTAAGGTTTGAAATTGCACTCATGGCAACCAGCAGCTCCTGTGGGCTTAATCTTACCGTCTCAAAGCACTCACATATTGACACTGAAAAACAGCTCATAACTGGCTCAGCCAAATTGCTGCACCTTCATAATTATTGCTTTCAGAACTGCATCTACCTGCCTAAGAAGCACTGGAATTCTTCCATGTCAAACGAGTTATCTGAGAACGATTCCATTTGGAAAAGGCAGTATTTGCTCTGTGGGTTATGTTTTCATCTTTTCATCTTACTACTATTCATTCACTCTGTGTATTGGCTTGCATGCTAGAACCTGTCTAGCCTATGGTCTACCCTGCACATCTCTCTGACTGTGCTGCTGAGATCTCTTTGGCATTTGTAGTGTATATTCTGCAAATGTTTGTAGCTCTCTCCTGTTCCAGTCATTTTGGATGACTGCTAGTTAACTAGTCATGCTAGTCCACCTACTCACAGTTCAGAACCTTTCTTCACTTTTTGGACCTTGAAATTTTATTTCATGAACAAGAGACAGCATTGGGGTAACTGTCTGACTACTACAACAAATTTGATTTTAAATACTGCTGCATGGAACACTTTACTGCTCGGCTTGCTCAGCTAGGAAGATGGCTTGGACCATGAACACGTCAGGCCTGATATATGAAACCGTTCTAAAATTGCAAGTACATTTGTATAAAATTAGTTCTGATGAAATATTTCTGGTAGATTCATCATAACACATTTGCCAGATTGCTTCGTGTTCACATGCATATGTTAATGAATCTCAGTCTGTCTGGTAGTTCACAGGTGTGCACCAGAAATTGAAATTTGCATGAAGCCACTATAGAGATTGCCTCAGTTTTAATTCACATAGTAATGTTGGAAAATCAGTATTCAAAAATGAAAGACAAGCCGTGTTGCTCTCAAAAATAAAACTGAAGTTTGATAAGAATGTATGTCATTTTGTTTTTTGTCATGGCAACTCTACTGTTTACACTCATTGGGATTAAAAGACATTTCACACATCATTTGAATGGTGAGTTTATGTTGTCCATACTGAAAATGCTTTGAATTAACATGATAAGAAACAGCTTTTCTCAGCATTTCGTGGTTTTGCCCAGGCAGTGTATCTCTATAGCCCTCTGATGGATGCTGCCTCTGACTGTTAGTAAACTTGCTACCTTGTTAGACAGCTTGTCTATGCTGCTAACACAGTTAACGAATGAGAATATGGACAAATTTCCAGCCTAAGTTGTGTTGGTCCCTGTTCAGTCTTCAGCAGAAGAGTGTGACTACTCAAGTGAGGATGAGGAGGATGACTAAGAGCTTCTCTGCTTGGTGATAACCTTTCAGTTCTGCTACTCGGCTCTGAATTTTTTCAGTTCGGCTACCACTTCTGCCGCGAAAGTCAAGTGTCAAATCTTCTCTCATGGACTCAATAAAGAGTTGATTTGGGCATTGCCCACACACGAAAAGCTCCGCAGTTCTCACTTGGTGCTGTCTGTCATCTCTAGCACAAGGCCAGTGATCCTGTTTTTTTAGCCAGCACCTTGGTTTACCATGCTACAGGAAAATCTGGCGGAACTACAAGAAAACATGTCGGGTATTCTTACAAGGACTGAGGCAGACGCTGACATCTGGGCAGATACTTGGGATGTCTTAGCTATGATGGGAGAGTGCCACTTGTGGCTCAGTCACACAGTTATGATTTTTATTCAGTCCACCTGACACTCTGCTGGAAGATGCATTTTAGACCGAGGAAATGCAAGGAAAACCTCTGGTGTCTCTGCCCACGCCACTGCCCACTCAAAGTGCATGAAATCCCCTCCACGAAGGCTCTGCTGCCTACACCATCCGGCAGTGGTCCGCAGACCAAAAATCTCTTTGTCACCCGTGGAGGCATCGCAATTTCCACTAATGAGAGCAAGAGGCTGGATACTTTCAGTTGGTCCATTTACGTGGACAGGCTTAAGTGGCAGCTTGTGTGTTTCATCAGGCCATCTCAAGGCCGTTCTCTAGCCACCCAGCACTTTTCTTGTTGAATCGTGGAGATGATTAAGTTGGCCTCCGCTCTGAAGAGCTTAGGAGCCTGGTGCCAGTCAGGCATCCACTCTACCACATTTTGCGAGGTATTACTGTCTGAATTTCACTACGATTTCTCTTATGCAATGGCTGTTGCTGGCAGTGCAGCAGTAGGGCTCCTTTGCTCCCAGTCTTACAAATTCTGGCTCTTTGGGATTCTCTTTTTTATTGCTTTCACATGCCAGGGTCTATTAAAGTCCCAGAAGCATGATGTGCAGACTGTGTCGTACGAAACCTCGTCTTTCTGAGGGAGACACAGCTCAAACACTGTGCCGATCGTGTGGGTTGAATTTGAAAGCAGCGTATTGTATTGGGTGCAGCACGCCGAGCCAGTTCTGCTTTTGCCGGAGGGTGGGAACTGTGCTGCTCAGCCAAATGCTGCCGCTGAAAGACAGAACGTGAAAAAAGTTTCATCGGATTATTTGCAGCAAGCCAGACCTCATAAGTGACCTGTGTCGTCTAGAAAAAAAAAAAACTTGAGGTTTCATACGAAACTGGACCTTTTCTCCATTAGGGAGATCTTGCCTGGAGGGAAGATTTGATTTGTTTGACATAAGTGGTGGAAAAACATGATGCCCTTTAACCACAATATGTGTCATTTTTTTGAATTGCAATATGTTACACTTGAAGGGTTACTTCCATCCATGGACTGGCAAAACAGGAAACAAAACAGAGTATTACATCATCAGAGTTAACGTGGTCAGGTATAAATTAATGAAGCAAGTGTTATGTCCCCAGAGTCATGTGCAGTGAAGTTTGAGAAACTGTAGTCATATTCTGTGTTGAAAACCTCATTAAATAGTTGTCTCGCAGATATGCGACAGTTACGGTTACTATCCTGTGGGAGGGAAAAGAAAACAAAATTAGAAACGATGGGCTTCCTGATGTCATCAGAGAATGAGTGATGCAGTAGTGTGGTGGATTTGGAGTAACTGGGTGTAAATGCATGCACTGATTAGTCACATTGACCAGCTGGTACACCATGCAGCATTCTTCAAGGTAAATCTGGCCAATGAAAAGAGAAAGAAATGTACTTATTGACAGACCTGGACCTTGAAGAATGCTCTCTCCCTCTCTCTCTTTCTCTCTCTCTTTATGTATGCATGAGAATGTATATGTCCAGAGAGAGGTATTTTCTTATGCTACCATATCGTCTTACACAGTACATGCTGCAGCTCAGCTACGCGGATGATATTGTAACTACAATTCTCCCTATATCTGTCTGTCTCTCTATATTACAGGAGACGGCACTGAAACCACCACTCTATGGCACACTCTGTGGCACAGGTACAGCTCGCTCCCACAGGATAAAAATCAATCTCTAGCTGCCATATCCTAAAGAGAGAGAGGGAGGGAGAGGAAGGCACTGACTGAAGAGGGGAAAAAACGCATACTGTACAGGTTTCTGCAGCCTCAAACAAGACCTAGCGAGGAGCGCCAGACTATTTTAACTGAAACGACACATCTTGTTGCCTGCTTGAAGCTCATCCAAAAACTCTGCTAGTGATTTTTTTGTAGGCGATTTGAAATGCTTTGTTAAATCCCTTTGTCCTCACTTATTAGTCTCCCCAAAGAAAGGCTCGAGAGAACTCTTTGGAACAGTTCTCCTCACTCTGCTCACCCAAATGGCATAAAAACAGTGGAGAATTATGTACAGGATGTTTATATATATGTGTTTATGTATATTCAGCACAGTCCTTGTTGTCTGTGTGTCTATTTATTTATTTGTTTGCCTTGATTTTACCAATTGGACAAAGATCAACACAACATTAACATGCCTGGTGGCTGTTTTTTTTGTCTTTCTTTTTTTTTTCTTTTGGCTTTTACCACTGAACTTACCCATTCTGGGAATTACTCATGAACTTGACTGAAAATTTCTGATGCTGCAGTCCATGTTCCACATGGCCTTGGTGACTGTTCTGGCCGTGTCACACTGTACCTCCTTCTTGATGATTGCCTCCGTTCTCTTCGCCTAGTGACACTGTTAATGCAAGTAAATAGTGTGGCTATTTCAATGCATGACCCTCCATAGGAGGTATCACTGCATCACAGTATTCTGTGTCACTGAATGCCTCAATATGTCATTTGGAACTCGGAGGAGTTAAAAAAAAAAAAAAAAAGCTCTGATGCTCTGAGCTAATCCACAATCACAGAGAGCAGAACACGTGGTTTCTAATCAAAAGCTCCTTTTATGACAGTAGCGGAGAACACAGTCTGACCTTTATATGTTGTCTGTCATAGTCGGCTTTTGAAATTCCGAGTCAGTATAACTTGTGAGATGTATTTATTTGATTCCATATAGAAAACCTCAGGCAGTCCGTAATAAGTCTTGGTAGGCTTTAGGTAAAGTACCTAGGTGTGTACACATTCTGAAACTGACATGCTATTTATTCCACATAAGAATCGAGAGAGAAGACTACTGTTCCTTTTTTTAAGGACAAGGTAGGCTGGACTATTCAGGCTTTACATAAAAAAAGCAATAAAGTAAAGGCAAGAGAATTCTCCTAACAGGATCAGTTGGTTAGAAATTCTCTTTTGTACCACTTAATGTCTGACATCTCTGTAATAGATTAATACAACTTTTTCACATGACACAAATGAACTGATTCGATGGATAGCACCTTTATGCAGTAGTGAATCATTTCCTGAGGCCTATGGACTGCTTTGGTATTGATAGAGAAGCTTTTGGGCACAAAGTTTTGACCTCTGAACACAGCAAAGGTGTCAGAGGGCTTAAAGTTATTGAATATGTTGCTAAGATGTAGGAAACACAGTATGCCTCATACATAGAACTGTAGCACTGTGTAACAATAGACTTACCTGATTTTTGAGGGGAAAAAAATAAAAATAAATAAGCGCTATGATTTGTGTGAAGGAGATGGACATCGTCACTTATGTCAAACGTGAAGTACAATATGCACCTTACATTATCTTTGTATTCTAATTTGCCAATGTGTGAACTGTATATAAATGTTTTGTTAATGTATGTTTGAGCTTCTGAACTTTATTAAAGTCTTTTGCATTGTACTGCATATTTCCATGAGTCCTTTGTCTTTCAGCTCCTCATTCCAACACCAAGTGATTCCCAAGCCGTATTACATTACTTCACTTTTTACTGATCTCACAGCATGTAATGACCATATGTACATGAGTTCATACAAGAATAAATAATTATATTCCATAGCATGCCTGGATCAGAGGTTACCAACTCTTGTAGATTTACCTTAATACAGAGTTCAGCACAAACTTCTGAAAAATCGAAAACTCAAAAGCTTGTCCTGTTGGTGACCGCTGGACTAGGTATATGGTGAATCATTTGTATCAACTGTATGAGCACAGCAATATAATCAACATACTAATGCTTCTAACTCACCATGACTAGTTGATATCAACATCCCATTGCAGTGCCAAAATTCAACATAGCATCAACACTCCTAAAAATAAAGGTTCATAAATGGATCTTGGCTTAGACTTAAAGGGAACCCTTTAATGGCTATAGAACCATTGCATCATGTAGAGGTTCTTAAATTTTAAAAAGTTTGTTCATGCTCTTGCATCTCATTCACAAAATGGTTCTTTAGGCAACCAAAAGTGGTTTATCTCTGGCATCACTCTAAAGAACCCTTGTTGGTACCTTTATTTTTAAGAGTATAACTTCGAACCTTTAGTTAGTCAAGGTGGTGATATCTTTCATAATTCTGCGATTAAAAGTTGTAATGTTTTACTATTTTGACATATAATACAATTTGTTATTTTCACAAGTTGCACTGTTTGTAGTACTTCCAAATGTTGTAATGTAAGACACCAAAGGGGAAATACATATAAACATGAATTAATAATAATAATAATAAATGTTCTATAGAGCTGAATGATAATGAGAATGGTAATCTGAATTGTGATCATGGTGTTTCAGTGAAAAGCAATGCAGATAACAATTACAGTGCATAATTCCTGATATCGGCAACACTGATGCCATTTACTTTACTGTGACCTACAATTTAATAAACCCAATTCCAAAAAAGTTGGGACAGTATGTGAAAAGCCAGATAAAAACAGAAAGCAGTTGAAAACAGTGCAAAAAACATATGTGATGCTTTACCTTTTTCACTATATTGTGTGCATATATATATATATATATATATATATGCTCCTTCCAAATATGATGCCTACAACATGTTCCAAAGTAGTTGCATGGACCATGTTTACCACTGTGTTAAATCACCTTTCCTTTAAACAACACTTAATAATCATTTGGGAACTGAAAACACCAATTAATCCAGTTTTTAAAGCAGATCTTCAGTTCTGTGACCGCATGGGGCGTTCATTGTATTTTGTATATCATAACGCGCCACACAGTTTCAATAACACCCGCACTTTCTGATTATGCAGCCCGATGCTGTCGTAACACATGCAGAATGTTTCTTGGCCTTTTCATTTAAACATAAGCATGGACATCCCTGAAAAAGACAGCGTGTAAAAGGTAGCATATGTTGCTCCGAAATGTGTATATATCTTTTAGCGTTAATAGTGCTTTCAAAGATATGCAAGTTACCCACTAATACACTCCTATACCATGGCAGACCCTGGCTTTTGAACTTTATGCTGGTGACAGTCTGGACTTCTTTGGCCCAGAGATGACCTCGATTATTTCCATAAACAATCTGAAAGTTTGACTTGTCAGAGAACAGTACATGTTTCCAGGGTGCATCAGGCCATTTGAGATGAGCTAGAGCCCAGAGGCTCAGGCCATATGGCTTCTACTGGCATAATACAGTCTTACGTTGCAATTGTGAATGCAGTGATGAACAGTGTTTATTGACAGTGGTTTGTCAGAGGATTCCTGAGCCCATGCAGTGATATTCAACACAGAATCATGCCAGTTTTTAATGCAGTGCTGAGAGAACGAAGGTCACAGGCATTCAGTTGTGCTTTTTGGCCTAGCACTTTACACAGAGAGATTCCTCAGGATTCCCTGATTCTTTTGGTAATATTATGTACTGTATACTCTCAGCAAAAAGGTACAACACTATCACTGGAGCAGTACTCCTCTTGTCACTGGGGTGGTACCCTCAAGGGTACATCTCAGTGCCTTTAGTCAGGGAACGTAGTTGTACCATAAACGATTGAAATTCTGTCTTTTAAGTTGTATTGACTCCATGCACTCTTCTCCAGGCTTTTTATTGTATTGCTCTGTTTTAAAACATTAGGTTATGAAAAGGTACAAATACGTTCCTTTTACCTGGGAAAAACGTATTTAAGGTACACAGTTGGACCTTAAAACCACTGTTGTATCTTTGAGGCAACATTTACATTGTTTGTACCCTGATGAACAAAAAAATGTACCTGCACAGCACCTTTATTTCTAACAGTGTAGGGGATGAAATGCCTAAAATCCTTGTAAATAGTCTTTGAGGAATGTAATTCTTAAACAGTTGGATTTTTTGCTGATGGAATTTTTGGTGGCAAGCCTTGACTGATCCTTGCTCACAAAGAACTAGGCCATTCCTGAACGCTCCTTTTGTAGCCGAGCATGACAACATCACCTCTCTTAAAACGTACTCTGAACATTTAACAGCATTCCTAGTCTCAAATTGTTCCTATCCCAACTTTTTGGAATGTTGTAGGCATCAATTTCAGAATGAGCATATATTTACAAAAATCAGTGAAGTTGATAAGATAAAACATTTATTATGTTATTTTCATACTGCTTTCATTTAAATGCAGGTCAAAATGGATTTAAACACCTCAGCTTTCTGCTTTTATTAACGTTTCCCATACTCTTTCAGCTTTTTCTGATTGAATTTGTACTTGTATTCATGGATATTCCACCGAAGAAGCAGATTGTCCTGTTGGTGGTTTCGTAGTAGCTTTTCCAAGAGTTCATATGAAGGGGGGGATGAGAGGCAACGGGAAACAATTTAATTGCTTATCAAAGTTACTTTATATTGCGAGACTGGAGAGCTAATCATTTCCCTTGAGGGAAGTGTGTCCTTGGTGATTAGAGAAAATGGTGCACATGGCGGCATTGAGTACGCTCATCTTTTTGCGAGAGGGTGTGCAAATGTCAGCCTACTATTAATAGCTTAATGTAAACCTGAAGTTCCCCCTCTAAGTGCTATCAACTGGCTCGCGACGATGCGCACATTCGTGAACTAAGACTGTTGCCATGCAAGTAACACTTTACCATATGAACTCACTTAGTTCTACTACTGAAGTGGAAGACTCCCTCCACTGAAATCATACCTCACTTTTAATCTCCCTCTGCACCAGATTGTATAACCGGTTAAATATAAAATGTGTTTAATTAATGCATCTTGGTCCCTATAGACTGCACAGTAGATTCTGTTCCTAAAATCATCCATTAGATCTTTCAATATAAAAAATAGGCTCGCTTGTTCTTCCAGATTGGATTCCATCTGGGTTTCTGGCAAATATCTTTTTTTATAGGGTGAAGCAGGGAATTTCTTACAGATCTGTAATTTTTCTGTTGTTATTCTTTAAATATACGCTGGAATATTATGGCAGGATCCTTTTCTCATGCATGTAAGTGAGTGGAGTAAATTGTCACTGGTTTTATCTATTTTAAGGTGACTTTCAGAGGTTATCCAACAGTTGCTACATGTCAGTGCAATAAAGCTGTTAGAATGTTACATTGCTGACATGCCGATGCATTATTTATGAGGTTTTGTATACGTTTTCATCCAATAAGCCAGGAAGCTGGTTATACTGTATAGTGTAATTTTAATTGTATGAGTCTATTTCTCTCACTCTCTTTCAACCACACAAGTCTAATATAACCTGAATTTTTTAAAACAATACACAAGATGAAACTGCGGAAGCCTCTAAAGTTAATTATCTGAATTTACAATCAACCACAGAATTTCAATGGTATCTGACTTTTTAGGTGAACACAAAAGCACAGATGGCACTAATTTATGTGGCTTCAGATGGTGTGTATGTAATATGTGCAACATGGATCTGCTGAATCTTGCATTCACTCATAATCAGCAAACACTGATAAAGAGACTGATTAATGATGCCTATAATGTAATGGCTCAGATAATGGAGGGGGTTTTAAGCAATGACCGCTTAGCCCCACTGTGCAACC